CAGGATTAGCCGTGGTAAATACGTGCATGGGACACCACTGAGGAAGAGTAAGAAGCAAAGGAAGGCAATGGTAAACCACCTCAGCTCAACTCTTGCCTTGAGGTGGAACTTCATGGGGGTCACTATAAACCAGTTGCAATGTGATGGCACTTTATTGTATTATTACTAATTGGACAGAAGCAGTTTCCTAAAGTCACAGACTACCAAAGTACCTAAATATATCAATTTAAACTTTAACACTCTCAGCAGTCCATTATAATGAAAACTATAGTGTATTATTCATGGACAAAATGTGTCACATTTAAACAGTGAAAATATCCCTGGAAATATGTTGGTTATTTCTCAGTATAAACAGGAATTACTTAATTCCATAGATTTTTCTTACACAAAAATCTTACATTTTGAGTGAGTAGAGCCTTGGTCTTACAAATCATTTTATTCCAAAAGAGAAAATATTGCAAAACAGGGTGTGTGTTTTCAGAGCTCCCCAAAATTTCCAGTTATTCTGTTGGGAAAAACTGGAAAACAAAAGCCTCAGAAAAAAAAAAGTTTTCCACCAAACTTTTCCAGTCTTTTTCTGGATCTTCACATTTCTAACTAGGAAGCTCTCTTCAGTTCCATGATCTGTACTTGGTTTTAGATAAGTCAGTATTTGCTTAATCTCCTCCCCAGCATCTAATGTATGGTGATAACAACTGGCTATTTTGCAAATGGACTTGCAAATACATGCTTGGAAGTTGGAACATATACTAAGAATAGCATAGCACCTGTGCATAACTGGATCACCTGAGTTTACAACCACAATAAAGATTACTATTTCATAGGCAGATGGAGGTGTGTCAGGCATGGTGTGAGCAGATCTGGGTAGAGTTGAGAACTGTGGCTTGGGAAGTTCTAGGAGATGAAGAAGAGTAGGTTTTTATACCCCACTTGTCTCTATCCTAAGGATTCACAAAGTGACTTACAGTCACATCCTCTTCCTCCAGATCCAGAGGTGGTGCCTGGGCAGGGCAGAATATGGAGAGGGAGGTCAGAGGGACTGCGATACCGTACAGTGCAAAGCTGCTGCTTCCTCCAGAGGGTTTTTGTAACCTGAGTATCGGTTGTAGTTCTGGGAGAATCTCAGGCCCCACCTTGAGGTTGGTAACTCTTACAAGAAGTGGAATGTCTGATTCCTCAGTCAACAGAGGCTATGTCAATCCATGTTCTGCTTTCTGGTTCCTGATATCTATCTGCACAGTTACATATTGATGTTACATTGGCCATGATAAGGCAATTTTACTTGTATTCTTAGGACCTAAACTGGAAGGTACATATTGGCAATATCGCCATCTCCAATATATGTAATTGCTTCTGACACAAGGCCAGATTAAAAAATTGTGCATCATGTCATTCAATTCCAGATTGCAACATTCCATTTTTGGTCCTTTATCAGTTATTTACTGCCTTACAATTATAACAGGGGCTTTGTTGCGTGTTGTATTCTGTACTATTTGATCTCTGAAGAAGGCTCTTGTGGGCCAAAACGCGTCAGGTCATATATGGTTCCCTTTTGTGCATTTGTCACTTTGATTATTTTATGAGGCTTTATTGATTATTTTATGAGGCTTTATTTGGGCCCCTACAAGGTTTTGATATGCTTTTGGAATAAACACATGTATTTTTGTCCATACCTATTGATGTTTTTAACTTTTGGCCCTTTACCAGTTCTCTAAATTTCTTTTGGAAGTTTTTGCTTGGTTAGTTTAGTTTTTCTTCCCCTCTCTCTTCATGGCTGCTTTCTGGTAGCCCAAATCTATGACAGTAGTACCTATCAAACCTTCATGTTAAGTATATTCCTTAAGCCCCAAAGGTATTATTTTCCCCTACACTGATGGCACAGTACAACTCCTTCTAGGAGAAGATGGCATCTGGACACAGAAAGAAATAAAACAAATCCATCCCATAGTTAGCAGAAAACCTTTATTTAACATATTAAGCACGCTGCTTTCTAAACAATATTTAAAAAATAAAATTCCAGAGTCACAACACAGCATATAACACTTGCCTCAAAAGGAGCCTGCAAAGCTCTCAAGAGTCCAAGATCAACACTTGACTGACCTGCAAGAGGCTTGCATGTGGAGACAGGAAAAGCCTTGCAGAGATTATGATGAGTTAAACTCCCGTGGAAGCGTTTGTTACAATTACTGATGTGGCACAGGGTTCCTCAAACATCAGAGGTGCCCATGCTCAGAATAGCTGCCACTTTTAGTAAACTTCCACAGAACTTACAGATAGGAGTAGCTTCATGGATTTCAGAGAACGAGAGCTTAGAAAAAGTTTGCAAGCAGGCCTAACACTCACAGAAGTGGCAAACTTGTACCATACTACTTCAGACTGTAAGCAGTTCCCGACACAACTGAACATCCTTCCATATAGAAAGCTTCCTCATCACACAATATTAGCATGTCAGGAAGAACACCTGTGCTGCTTCTACCCACAATGGGGGGGGGGGTCAACAGTGGGAGGGCTTCTAATGTCCTGGCCCCACTGGTGGACCTCCTGATGGCACCTGGTATTTCTGGCCACCGTGTGACACAGAGTGTTGGACTGGATGGGCCTTTGGCCTGATCCAACATTGGCATCTCTTATGTTCTTATGTTCTTAATGCAAGTGTAGTCATCTAACATAGTAATTAAACGAGTCTGTGAGCCTGCCAATGTCTATCACAAAAGGCTGACAAGACAGACCTTTAACATCATGACCTAGAAAATCTCCTTCCCCCCCCTTCATTTTTTATTTTTTTGTAACATCTAGTCTGATGAGGAGGTCCGATGAGCTCAAAAGCTTGAACAATGTTTTGTGTCATTTTAGTTGGCCCTAATAAAAGGTATTAACATGGCTTTTGTTTCATGTTCAGGAAGAACACCGCTCTAGTATCTTTCTTCCTGACATGCTAGTTTTTGATGTTAAAAGAATTCTTTGTATGGAAGAACATTTAATCATTTGAGCCACACTAACACCACCACCCCCCCCCCGGTTTGAAGGAGCTCAATCTAGTCTCAGGGTTGCCACCTCAGTGAAAGCAGAACTACATGCCTTGTGACATAGTTCTGCGCTTATTTCTCCAGACAATTTATTTTTAGCAAAATGCAGCAGGGACTGCACTTAAAAGGCTTGGCCAGGTAGAAGAGCTATTTAATTCTCTCTCTACACAATTTTTCTTTCAAACCCCACCACCCTGAATGAAGATTTTACACCTGCTGGGGAAAATATTTGGGTACCTGAATCTGCCACACACACACCCCCAGCATAAGGAAGAGCAGCATGGGGGGAGATTTTTGGCAGAAAAGAGTACAAAGAGAAAAGCTTAAATAGCCCCAAGCCCTTCTCCAGCCTACACCAGTCTCAATACTAAATGGCAACCACTGCAACTACATGATTTAAAATATATCAGGAAAAATCAAGCACAGAACTACACACTAAGCATGGTTCCAGACTGAGAACTAAACACAAGCTGCTACCTGAATCTAAGTATAGCCTTGCTATCTGCAGTCATGATATGACTACTGCAATATTACATACGTCATGAAATAAAGACAATGAGGAAAAATTGCAACCACAAAACCCCACAATAATGCCTGCAAAAACCAAATTCCTATGGCACCTTGGCTCTTTATCTATGTGACAATGTTTGAATTCTGCTGCAAAAGGCTATTGTTTAAAAAGGGCTCATGAAACACATGTAGTATTTTCTTGATTCTTCTACTAGAAAGTATTAACTTCAATGGATCTCTAAAAAAAATATAATCAAGCACTGCTAACTGGGTGTCTCCCCCAGCAGCATGCTACTGATGATAAAATAAAGTTTTGGCAGCAGTACACATGCAAGGGGGCGGGGGGGGGAACAGGGACTTGGCCCACAGCTACCGTCATCTGTTGGGGGTGGGGTTTGAAGGGCATTAAGCAGTGGCATTCTCTTTCTACAACCCTCATGCTCTACATGTAATGGATTTCAGGTCCCCCACATGTGTGCAATCCACAGTTCTGCACTCCCTGTGGCAAACTGTTTCATGGGTGGCAGTTCACCATGTGGATAGCTCTCACCATGAGGGGTTGTCTATATCATTGGAAAACACTGTGTGCAACAACAGAAAAATGTATGCAATGAACACCAGACCACAGACCAGAATAAAAAGAACTGACCACCATGTGAAAGTAGCCACCACACGCAAACAGAGTCAGACAACCATGTTGTGAGGGGCACAAGTCTTCATGTTTTGCTCAGATTTCTATTTCTACTTGATGGTTAAATGGGAAAACAAAGAAGTTACAGCAAAATGTGGGCAAAGACAGATGTCACACAACTGCTACAAAAGAGCCACCATAAATCTGGATGTCAGAGGGACGGAACACCTTACCCATGTGCCCAAAAATTTCATTCAACTAGGCTCATATCTACTGTGTGCAATTGTTAGCACGCCAGGTAAGTAGCCATGATGGGCAATGTGTTGATACACAAGCTACTGGGCAAGTGTAATTCCTCTGTCCTGCCAACATCACATTTAAATCAAGCCCAAACAAATCCCACATTTGTGTAAAAGTTTTTCAGTCTGCTTCAGGAAGCTCTACACATGTAGCATCCTTTCACATAGTTTATCACTGCAGACAGATATTTGGATGTGCAATTTCATGTACCTCTCAGTATTTCTCCAGGTATCACTGAAATGTTTGGGTATTTGGTTTTGATGCTAAGATGGGGCTCCTACTTGCTGGTGTGGGATTTTGGCCCTGTAGTAGGAGTTAAAGCCAGTTTATATTCTCAGTCTGAAAAGATACCTTTGAAAGTATTTTTAACACTGTATGTGATTATACTTAGATAATTACATGATGTTTTTTCCAGTCACAACACATGGTATAAAAGTTATAATCAAAAGGAATACTGAAGTGCATATAATGTAGCTCAGGAAAATCTATACTACGCACAAGTGTATTTCTCAGCAATTATATACAGGGTCCTGAATTTTAATATGTGTAAAACTGGGTCTTGCTAATAAGATTCAGATGCTAAGCAAATATTCATATTATTTGAAAACTGGACTTACTGTAAGTATAGTAGTGGCTATGCACATCAACAGAAGCATTTTACATTCTTACAAATAAATCTTTTAAAAGGAAGGGAAAGTTTCAAAGAGAAGCTGTAAAGTTATACATTTGTGCCTTTTCCCAGATTCCTTCAAACAATTAGGTTTTTGATTCATATTTTGTAGACACCATATGGAGAAATGAGATAAAAATTAAGAGAACAGTTCATCAAAAGAAAGAACTAGTGAAACTGCAACTCAGTACCACTTTAGTAAGCTTAGTGATAGGGAGTTTTTCACATGCATCCCTTTAACTGATTTTGTACCCCCAAAATAAATCAAAAGCAGAATAATAAATTTTTCATGATCTTGAGGTCACCCATTATGCAGCACAGGAGTGTTCAGTACTGTACACAACACAAGATATTGCTCTTGTTCATCTCCATAGGGCTTGCACAGGAGATCTTCCAGGAGGTGGGGGTGGACTGTGACCAAAGAGACTAACCTGGAAGCAACACAATGGCAGCTCTCCAAGTCCCTTTATAAATCTTCACACAGAACCTAAATAAGTCCTGGACATACATCCTCAGTACAGATTAAAGGGACTTTCCACATCAACTTTAAAGTCATTAAAAGCACAGAAAGTGTTTACGTATAATTTATGTCAGGACTGAAGACTGATGTTAATGGCTCAGGCACAGGCAAGGCATCACAAATGTAACTATACTAATAAGGCATAAGTGAGCTGTTCTACACTATTTGATAATATGAGTATATCACATGTGACAAAATCTATCAATATAATTGATGTTGGCCTAAAGGGTTGTAACATTTTTACAGTTAATACATTTTCTTATGCCCGTATTATGTTGTCTCTGTGTGTGTGTGTTTTACAGGCCAAAGAAATCAAAACAGTTTTAAAAGCAACTCGGACATATTAAGCTCTCATCCACATCTAAGCAACTTCAATTTGCTTCCCATGATTGGGGGGGGGGGGAGTATGCATACAAGTAGCAGTTCAGGTCTGTGGTTCCATTTGCTCCAGCCTTATACCTTTAAGGTACAAGGCAGCCAACTGGATGCTGGACTAGATGGACCTCCAGTCTGAGCAGCAGGACGCTCCTCTTCCCATCTCAACTGCCATACAGCCAATGGGATCCCATCAAAGATCTAATGGTTAACTGTCTACCAGCCATCCAGGCATGTTTATGGAACTAAAACCTGACGGAGGGTTCAAACAGGCCATTCAATAAAGAAGAGCACCCTGCCATTACTAAGATACAGAGATAACATACTGCAAACAAAATTAGAAAAAAGATCTTGGGTACGTGGCTGTCAAGATTCCTAAAACTTGACTTTGATTTGATATCTTTTGAAACTTTGCTCACATGTACTGAAGATTGGTAGCAATGAAAAGAAAGGTTGCTCGAGAAACCAAAAAGGTACCACGTCCTAGACCTACACTGTAATGAATATAATGCTACCAAAAATGCAGAATAAAACACAGTAGATCCTTTCCCGTGTAGTACTGTCCAGGAGGGACATTATACTGCAGGAAGCATCTTAGTTTGAAGAGGATCAATTAAGTGATCCTATCTGTACGAACACTGCTTTGAAACAAGGTATTTAAAAGGCTATTTATTAGAACTGCGACACGGGGACTTCAGATTAATACTTCAGCAGAGCCTTTGCAATAGCTTCCAGAAGAGAAGAGCCATGATTGGTAATCCATTTCATTGTCATTCGCTATAAGGAGTATATATTGCAGAGCATCCCACATGACAGCCCATTTTGTGCATTTATGGTTCCACTGACTTGTGCATCATGAAACACAGGAAAACAAGGCCAATTGGAAAGGAACCCTAATTAAAATCCATTATTAGGATGCCCCAGTGACACGGGAGGAAAAATCTAGAGCTGTATATACAGAAAGCCAACAGTCACTCCCGATGGAGGCTGAGCCAGTCGACTTCCTCAAAATTTGGGCCAACAAGTAGCCTTTGAGAACGTTCCCAATGCAAAACTTCAAGCCATCCTATTCAGATAACATGTTTTATCCTCTGTGAACCTCTGTGCTAATCAGAGATCTCTGCTTGCCAAAGACACGGGCTCTATCCCAGCCCCACCCCGCAAAGCACTGAAATTAGAATCTATCCTGCAGAACACATGACGTTCTAGAGCTGATAACATCCAAGGGATGAAGAATTTTGCAACAAAGACAGACATCTGAAATATCCAGTAATATTTTGTACGCACCTTCAGCAGCTGCTGACAGGTGTTGGGGTTGGAGATTAGTGTGCAATACGGTTATACATCCATTAAAACTGTAGCATGATAGCACAAACTGTCCTGGGTATAATTTTTTTAAAAAATAACATATGGTGGAGGGGGTTGGGTGGTGGCTCTATAGCATGATTGGTCCAGCTGGAAGTGATGTGGCACTGCTGTGGGCAGGACAACCATCTCCCAACTACACCGGAGATCTACCGAAGACTTGCACAGCTTGAAGACCCATGCCTCAGTAGGAGCTGTGGGGCTGACAGAGAAGGTGGACGCAGCTCTCCTGGGAGGAAGCCTCAACTGGGAAGGCAACCTAGAGAAGTTCTAGCACACGAGGCCAGCAGAGGCAGTCAGCCGGTGGTTGCCACTTCCTCCAGCTGCTATCTCATGCCATTCATACATAAGAAATGGTGATACCGTGAAGGCATTAGAACCAGTGTTACCAATACTTCTTATAGAGCTGTATCACTTCACACCATTTTTCAGGAAAATAATCGTAGTGTTAAAGGAGGTGTTAGGGTAAATACTTACGCAGAAACAGGAGGAAACTGAAAATGTGGAAACCCCAGCATCACTTAGGCATTTTTAAAACATGATTTGAACAACGTGTGGGGCAAACAAATAGTTTTCACAGAGGTGAACATCACATGCTAACATTGAAGAGATGGCTACGGTCAATCAAGGCAGTTGATAAAGATACTGACATACTCTGAAGTCCAACAAGCAGAACACCCAGCTGGTTATTCAAAGGAAGAGCTGCCTCCATCTAGCAGCGGTCAAGAACTTTCTCCTATGGCATTTTAAAAGAGTTGTCTGGGGTAGATATGGTATTTTTCTCCAATGAAAGGACTCTGGCCTGTCCAGTCAGTTCTGGTGTCTCTGGGAGTGTGTCACTGGTGGACCAGGGTCTGATGCATCTATGTGGATGGATAAAGCTGCTGGAACACCACAACAAGGAGAGAAGACAGAAGTATAATGAACAGTCATGTCACAGAAAAATACATAACTGAAATTCTACATGCTCAGAGTTCATTTGCCAAGCCCGCCCCTGCTGTCATTGCTTATCCCGTATATTTACTTTCAGCCAGGGTGACTGTATTCCAGAAGATTAGAATAGCAACAGTCATTGTACAGGGCAAGACTTATTTCATTTGGTTTTTTAAAGTGCCATCCTGAAAGCTGGCTTCTGCTAATAGATGGTCTGCTTCCTAGCCTGTGTTTTTGGTAAGGGGAAGAGAAAGGTCACTCACAAACATCATTATTGCATCTTCTTTTTTATTCAGACCATCAGATGTAGAGGGAAAATATATGCACAGACACAGTGCCAGCTTATCGCATGAAATAAGGAACTCTGGAACACCAAAAGCCAGATTTTGAAAGATTCTTGGTATCAGTACTGAAGCCTTGTCTATGTGTCAACATATCCAGGGTTGTGCTTATACAACACCAAATGAAAAATCAAATTTCTGAGCCAGAGTAACCAAAATTCTGGCTGCACATCTCAAAATCAGCGTCTATTTGCTCCTCTGACTCATTTTATTCTGTTTCAAAGGTTGTGAAGAGGATGTAATTTTTTTCCAGCAAATAATAGAAGGGGAGCAGAGTAGACAATGAAGTCATGAGATGCAAGCATGGAGGAAGAGAAAGGTTCTGCATAGAGCACCCACATCCCAACCACCATCTGCAGTTTGTACAGGAAGTAGGAAGAAATACCTCCTGTTTCTCGTCAAAAAGTGAAACAACTTTAGCAGAAAGGTGGAATCCAGTATAAGCAACGGACTACCCTGTGCAAAAATACAGAGGAAATATTATGCCAACAATGAATAAGCACTGGATAAAAGGAGCTGCAAGCTGTTCACTAGACTCGCATATACTTTCTGCACTTGCCTACCACACAGGAAAAGGATGGGAAGAGAAGAGGCAACACAGAGTCACTGAGATAGCGGTTGAAATAACCAGGCAAAATGAACAGGGCCAGAACGTGCTGCCGAGCAGTCCAGCTGTGAGACCATCAAACCTCTTTCTCTCTCACACACACACACACACCATGGGCTGATATGAACTCCATGTCAATTGGGTCTGAATGCCACTCACCTTCATAAAAGGTGAGCAATGAAAATACCAAACCAGATTCTCAGTAAAACAGCTAGATTCAAGTCCAGCAGCACCTTACAGACCAACAAGATTTTCGGGATATAAGCTTTCGAGAGCCAAGGCTCCCTTCACTGACTCTCAAATGCTTATACCCTCCCACCCAAATCTTGTTGGGTCTCTAAGTTGCTACTGGACTCAAACCTAGTTGTTCCACTGCAGACCAACACATCTACCCTCTGAAACCTGGTTCTCAGTAAACTCTTTATGCAGCCCAGAACCAAACTATTACATTTGCCAGCTGCCCAGCAGCAAGTAGGAAGAAGTGAGACCCCACTCATACACAAGGCAGCTTCAAGAACTCAGGGGGCTACAGATGGACTCCCAGAGAACCGTTTGTGTGAACTAGCGCCTCCTTGTGGGTAGTGTATGTGCAGCCACCCCTATCTCAGGAGTCTCAAGTTGCCAGACAGACTTCAGTTCTCACAGAACACTTCCGCGCAAGCCATAACTCAGCACACTCCCTAAGAAATAATGCCAGTGACATCACTGCGTGTGAATCTGCCCCACAGAGAACACAAGTAGAAAAACAAGGAAAGATGGGAGTTTCAAATTTATCCAGATCACAAAGGCACGATGTGTATGTGAGTTCTTGGGCAAACAGAAGGGACCCAGGGTTGCTCCTTCACTTCCAGCCACTAAATACCAGCCCTGCATCCTGAGTAGCCTGACGATCATCATCTGAATTCAGTCAAATTCAACAAAACTTTCTGCAGGTGGGAAGGGGGAGGGGTCTATGACAGAGGAAGATTTGTTGCTGCGTGTTTAAGAAAGAAGCTAAATTCATCACAATGACAGGGGAGAGTGTTGGCAGAGATTTGAGCTATTTATTCTTTTAGGAAAATCCTATAAAGAATGACATGAGGAAGCCTCTATCTGCAGTCTTGTTCATCACGTTGGTGAGGAGTCCGATAACAGATGTATGCAGTAGCGTGATTTAGTGCTGGGAGCTGGCCCCTGATGTGTATTAATACAGCGGCAAAGCGGAACGAGCCTCTCTTCATCACTCATCTCTATAAAAGAGGTGGAATCCGAGATGGCCCGATGTTAGGCAGAGCAAGCCCATTTGTTCTGCTGACTGATGGAGCCAGCTCAGGCTGTGTCCTTCACCTCCGTGGGGCACTCGGGTTGCATAAAAAGAGTTCAGTGAAGCAGGACCTTGGTCAACTAGCAAGATGAGAGCAGTTGGGCTCAGCCATGGGTGTATTTGGGAAGAACAGTCTTGCATGGAAGGGATATGGCTCTGAGGTTACAGACTCCCTATTCTCGAGTCTGGGCCTGAATTATGATCCACTCCTCTCTGTCATTAAATTCCTCAGATGGAGCTAACCCACAGTGAAGGAAAACAGAAGCCCACAAACTACCCCAAGAGAGGAAACACCCAAGTTTGTAAGGACTGAAAGAACCGGGGGGGGGATCCAGTGACTAGGGTTGTGAGTGTCCCATACATCACAAAAAACATCAGGAATGATATTTTGCTCCCTTACAAAGTCTACATACTTTGTTGTTGTTTTTTAGAAAAACACAATTTCAGAATCTTAAAACAGGGTTTAAGCAGGATACAGGGTTACACTTTTGTGTTCTGGATTACAGAATCTTTCCCCACAACTTGAACTCTGCTCCCATTAGCTGATAATTGAGACTCTTTACAGGAAAGACAATGATGGTAGTAAGATGCTTGCAGATTCCTGTGCTCAAAGATGTACTCCTTGAGAGTTATCCTAGATAGGACTGGGGGGCCCCTATTTGCCATTTAAATTTATAAGCAACAAGGGTAGGATACAGAGTTTCATTTCCAGGTCAAAAGGAATGCAGAGATGAGGGGAGCTGAGCCCTCTCCAGCCTTGCTGCCCTGTACTCAGTTCCAATATCCAAGTCAGACTGGGGAGAAAATGAAACAACAGACTGCAAGGAGGGAAGGCAAGGAGGAAGGAGGTCTCCCGTTACCCATATCATATGCCTCTTGTGATGTACATTATATCCACTCACCTTAGCCATCCCTGCTTTACACATCAATTCAGCATAAAGAAAGAAAGTATGCTGCCACACCACTTCTACTTTGGACCTTATAAAGGCTCATCATGAGCATGTTTGGTCATTACCTGCATCTTACAGAACTTCTAAAAAATGCTGCCAAGCTCCAGATTACAAACATGTAGAAAGAGGTTTATTTAGCAGTTCTTCAAATGCCAATTACTCCAAAGCATTTCCCAGTTTGCTTTAACCCCATGAAAAGATCAGTGGTTAAACCTTCACAGAACGAATTCATTTGCAACATTTCCAAAAGACACATCAAGTAGGGGGTGTACAAAAAAAATCTGGTATTTTCCAGATTTGAGTATACATAGTATATTCGGATTTGGTAAATATTTGGGATTGCCGATTTTTTCTCGGTCCCATTATACCGTATGGGAATCATTATAGTCAATTGTCCCCATAGGCTCTAATGGAGAATCTAACTAGGGGGTATCTGGGGCTTGGGGGGGGCAGCTGTTTTTTGAGGTAAAGGCACCAAATTTGCAGCATAGTTGCTGGTGCCTCCCCCCACCCCCCCGTTTCAAAAAGACTGGACCAGGGGGTCCAATTCTATAAGCCCCAAAAAGAAGGTGCCCCCATCCTCCATTACTTCCAATGGGGGAGGGAAGGCTTTTAAAGGGAATGCGTTCCATTTAAATACCTTTTGCAAGCTGTGCCATGAGTGAACTCCAAAGCAGCGAGGTCACCTAGAAGGCGTTTAAAGGGAAGGCAATCCCTCTAAACACCAGCTATCTGGTAGCCACAAAAAATCCCAAATATTTTCAGGATTTTTTGGGCTCAGCCATTTTAGACAGCTTTAGACAATACTGAGATTTATATCTGGTTGAAAAAAATATTTTTTTCAGCTCAGTATTGCTGAATCATTGCCCCTAATCTCAAGAACATATTGTATTTTAAACAGGAGTACATAGGTATAAGTAATGTTATGATACGTTCCCTATAGCACTGAAGTTACTGAAGCAGGCTTTCAAATGCCCTTTGGCAAAGAGTGCTGGCTAAGGTAGTAACACATTACATCTACCATGTGATCTCCCCATGGGGACCTGCAGAAGAATGCTGGCTGCAAACTCCCCATGGGAACTCAATTCAAAAGTGCCACAGAGGCACAATTTAGATCAGGATTGTTGTGTGGGCAACAGGGGTTCATGCCCCAATGCAGTTTTCCTGACCAAAAACAGCCCAGTGGAGGTTATCTGCCCCACTGAATGTGCACTGAATGTTGCATGTGCAGCTCCACTACGCAAGGCCAAATAACCACCTCAGGGCTGTTTCTGGTAGGGAAAACAGTGCAGGGAGAAGGCAGGAGGCCTCTTCTCCCCCTGTGCCATGGACCCAATTTGAAATGGGCCCGTGTTACTTCTGAATTGAGTTCCCACAGGAAACTTGCAGCTGGCATCCTGTTGCAAGTCCCCATGGAGATCATATGGGAGATGTAACATGTCATTTGGCCCTAGATGTGACACAAGAAATACCCTTTGACACTGGAGAAGGGAGGAAATAGCACGCAGATGTTTGGACCAGTCAAAAGCAGCTTGTGTTGTTTCTGTTAAACCCAATACAAGACATCATGGACCCCTAGCTCTCCACCCAGGGGAAGGGAAGGGTCAGCAGCTATCACATATTATGACTGCCTATTAAGCCAATCAAGAATTTGGAAGAAGCTGGGGTGAAGATTTATCTGCATCATCTGAATTTTGCTGGAAGCACTGCTAGGAAACACTGCAAGACACTGGGTGATCTACATCTAATCCCAAATCCTCTCTCAAAGCATTTTATTTCCAGGTTTCTTGGCACAAATGAAATCTCTCTGTCGTGGGTCAGCCAGGGCTCAGTGAGGACTCCTTAGGAGGACTCTTCAGGAGAAGAGGAGCCCCATGTAGCCAGCTCTGAGTCAGAAGAAGCTGGCAAGCAAAAAGATCAGCTGCAGGCTTCTCAGGATTCACAGCCAACAGCAAGCACAGAACCACTGACACCTCCAGCCCTGATCCAACAGGTGAAACTCAGCTGATTGTTTCCAGCCCTTCAGTATCACCCACACCCTTAGAGTGCCACAGAAGGAGGCTATGAACTACAGGAGATATGACAAAGTGCACACCTCCTGGCCGGACGCCAGCTGCTTGAGTAGTTGTAGGATTACTCCCAAGCAGTTGGCTGCAAACATGATGCTTAAGCATATGGTTATAAAAACCAGCCAAGGGAGACTGTTAGGCATGGAAGCAACAAGTTGAAATCCCTCTGACTCTGCAACCACTGCATTGGATCCTGTCTCTATCCTGTGACTTTTTGGACCATTTCCTGACTCTGCCTTCATCTTGCTCCTGAATCTGCTCATAACTCTTGGATTCTCAGACCTTGCTGGATGGACTCACTCTCAAACTAGACTCCTGACTCTGTGCTTAACCTGGGACCAGACCTTGACTACACCTCTTGAGTTGGTGCTCTTGTCTTACCCACTCTACACTCTGACAGTGCGCCCTAAACCGTTCCCAGCCTGGCTTGCAACACTCCCTATGATAATCCCTATGGTAGTTTTGACAAACATTTCCCAATATTCTTCTAGTTCCTCTCATTGTCTTCTAATACTAACCCCCACTCCCTCACCTGAGGCTGGGCTGGAAAGGGAGGATGTTGCCATTACTGGCTTCCGCTTCCTCTTGATGTCCCTTGAGCATGGAGGTCCCAGATGGAGATTAGTCTGCCTGAAAAGGAGGAAACAAACCTTTTTGATTAAAAAATTAAGGCAATGAACACCATGCTGACGGTCCCTTTAAAAAGAAAACAAGCAACCTTTAATGATCTTTTACCAAATTCATTTAACACACTACTTTTTCTAATGAAAAAGCCACAAAAGAGCATCAACACTTTGCAATTCAAATATTACACAGCAGTCACCCACACAACTTACATGAGAATAAAACAGAATATGAAGAGTCAGCTGAAGCAGCTTGTAGAGCATTTTTAATGTTCAGACATCTGTGCAGAAACAGTCAGAAAAAATTGCGTGCCATCACCAAAAGAAAACACAGGATGGTACCAAGCTAAGAATATTTAATAATGATCTTTTGAACCTGCCTATCAAATCAATTTATAACTACATAAGTGCAAAAACATTAGGGTCAGTATATATCAATGTTATTAATAATTGTTAGAGTTAATGTTTTAAATGGCCTATCTTGGTTTGATTCAAGGTTTATTCTTCATTAAGCATATTGTATCTGTTTCATTCATGTAAAGTGCATCACTGTTTATATGTTTTAAAGTTAAAAGTTATAAATAAAATGTTTTTTTTAAAAAAAGAATATTTAAGCCCATCAATTTCAGTTCATTTAACTCTGTGCTGGATTGTGCCCTTGTCTTCAAGTATCTAGCTAAATGTCCTTGCAAGTGCACAAACACAGCCAAATGGAAATCAATTAAGTTTCACAACCGCCTCTTTCATCTCTAAGCAGATATAAATTCTGTAGTGCAAATATATATGGGCTCCATCACCAAAGGTTTTGGATTATAGCATAACTAGAAATAAGGCCCGTTGTGGAAATAAATACAACGGGATCTAGAAAGAGGCTCTGGGAGAGTGCTCTGGCTTTGGGCAAACAGTGTCAGTCTGCTTTTAAAACATGAATCTGGGACCTGCACACCACAAGAATACAGCAGATTCCATATGCAACTGACATTCCAACTGCCTTGCGGGGGGGGGGAGTTTGAGGTGTGGAAGTCCAATCAGCTTCCATATGCAAAAGACCAATCAGCTTCCATATGCAAAAGACCAGGTTGTCGCAGCAGTTGTGGTGTGGGCGGGACCCAGGCTTTGCCTTCTGATTGGTGGTGATATATGCTGAGGAGCAGTGCCATCAGCCATACACTAAGGGAGTGCATTTTAGAATTAGAACTTTGGCACCCACTATTCAATTATATATAAGGAGAGATGGCACCATTTAGTTTCAAGAGAACATTCTAATTGTTATAGCAACTATTTAACATGCATTCAGAAAAGTATTTGGTTTGCAAAATAGGAACACTGCTGTTAGTCAATCTACCCTGTTCTAGTCAATCTACCCTGTTCTACACATTTTTGTACCTTGTTGAATTCTGGCAAGAACACATGCTTCTTTTTCAACATGGCAAAACCTCACCTAATGCAAGAACTATTTCTGGTGGCATCACAGTATTTCTGAAATGCTAATTCTATTTACTTCATTTATATGATGGGGACCCAAAACAGCTTACATCTTTCTCCCCTCCTTTGTTTTATTCCTTGCAGCAACCCTGCGAAGTGGGTTAAACTGAAAGTATGTGACTAGCCCAAAGTTACCCAGCAAACGTCCATGGCAGAGTGGGGATCTAGACCACACTGGCTCTCTCTTTACACAATGCAGACCTACAATAAGCTCAAAATGAAGATGAATGGCTCCTAACTCAAGTTCCCCCTGGTGTCACCCTTGTGTTCTGTGCACGACTTAGGCTGCCTTCACACTGAGGTTATGCTCTGGTTTTGTTGCTGAACTAGCACAGGGAGTTTGAAACAAAGATATCATCCCCTATTCATCTTCTTTTGTTTTTCTCACCATTTTGCTGTGACCTTTCCCAAACAAGGTGCACTACAATATTTTGGGAAAGATCGCAGTCAAACTGCCTCTGTATGGTACGGATAGGATAGGAAGGTGTGGATTGTTGCAGGTCCCACCCACATTAGTGTCATTTTCCTTTCTCCTTCCCTCCTCCACTGCCCCACTGTGGAGTTTTTCAGGCTAAAAAAACCTAGTAAGTTACATCACTGTAGTGTTAAGCTACAGCAACATGACAATTACTAATTTTAACCTATAGCACTATGTCAATTACTGGAGTTTTTAAAGCCTGAGAAAGCCCTCCACTGGCACAGCTACAGGGGACCTGGACGGTGGAAAACTACTGTGGGACACTCTGTTGCCACTGCAAATGCTTCCATATTCGCAGTGGCAATGCAAGAACACACACACATTATTGCCATATGTACAAAGCTTTATTAACCATCACCATAACCTGAACTGACTGAAATGTGAACTATTCCCCTTGCCCCCAAATCCAATACTGCTAAAATGCCACATAAAGCAAAGGCAATGAGACCAGAGTTGGTATGCCAGACACCTATTTTTCCCATTTCCATTATAAATATGATTTATTTCTGGCATGGATGGGGCATCTCCTGCCCACAATACTTCTGTAAAATATAAATATCTAGCTTCCCCACTTAACAGACAATATTATACTGCAACAAAATAAAGGAGAACCTGGGATACCCCCATACCAGTTCTCAACAAGATAAAGAAGGATGCCTGCGCTAAAGAAGTGAGGTCTAGTAAGGCATTAGCTTACGCTCATACAGGCACAGTGGGTCATAAATCCCTATAACATACCTTTCATTCACGTTTATCCTTTATTGATTATCTTCCCTCCTGATTTATTAAATCAGGATCTTATTGAACTCTCACTGGTTTCATCCAACCTGGCGGTAAAGGTGTCCATTTCAAGCTCCGCCTGCAACACTTGCCTAACTGCTCCTCTGCCTCTCATCCTGATAAATAAATGCAGAAAGCAAGCCTACATGTGTAGCCACCAAAACATGTGCTTTAGTTCCTTATATAACAACTCTGCACCAACCTCTCCCCTACAAAATGGGTAAGTATAGAGCTGAGTTTTTAAAACAGGACTCCAGCTTCCACAAATAGTAACCATTGAACTCCACGGAACTTCAGTTCCAGCTGCCCAGGCCTCTTAGTTCTTCCAAGAATGTGTGAAAAGAAGAGGTAAGAATGCTAAGGCTTCCCTGTCCCTACTTACTCTCTACCAAGTTACAACAGAATCTAATCAGAGTTCTTAGCAGCACAAAAATGCCAGAACTGTACACCAGGTTACAGCTTCTGCAAGCCAGTGCCAGTTCTTTTTCTTGGAATCTTACACTATGCATTAAAGGAGCAATTGACCAGCTAGCAGTCAGCGGCAGCATCCTGCTATCGTTCTCATTTTGGGAGGCTCACATCCCTCCCCAAATCTTGCTGCAGAAAAACTAGCATGCTGCTTCTCACTTAGCAGATGCTCTCATTCCACATGGGAGGGACCATGTTTCAGAGATCAATACAGAGTGCCCTTTGTCATTTTCGGAGTACCATCAGGTTGCATACAAATCTCTTACATGGCTAACTACAGGGCCACTCTCCAAGTGGTGTTGCTCACATCAACAGAGTACAAAAGAGACTTATGCACTGCCTCCAGCCTGAAAGATACCCTTTCCCATCATTGCTCAAAATACCAGGGATGTCACAAAGGTGTCTAGACACACTCTCAAAATATGTGTCCTGTTCCTGTATTGTGAACCAGCTACCCCAGCCAGGGTTTTGAGGGAGGCACAAAACCATCCCCCGTGCCTTAGCATTTGGCCATCCATATGTTCTATTAACCTTAACCTCAAAGATCTAGAAGCAGAGGTGGAGAAGTTGTTCAGTATATAAAAACTGTCTTTCCATTTTCTGGGAAAGAAAAATTGCTCTTCTTATGGACTACCAGCTTCATCCCATTTAGGTTTGCAGAACAGTTAGCTGGCTGTATAAGATTACTCCCCCAAATGCATACAATGAAAAGTTGGAATTAGACATTACAGTGAACGCTGCAAATTAAACAGAATTCTAAAAAAGCTGGCAATGTTTAATTATAATTCAGTTTTAGAGTCACCATCATATGAAGCTTTAATTTCAGGAGCAAAAGGGGCCTCAGCTGAGAAACAGACATTCTAGTATCAAACCTAGGAATATCATGAGCAACGTTTTCTAAATACCTGAATATTAGCCCCCTGCACCAAGCCCATATTCTACCAAAACAGTACAATTGTCTTACCTTACCCTCCCCGCCCCCCCCCCAGTTTTCAAAGTGAAGTATGTGGACTATGCTAATGTAAGTTACTACAAGTGTTTAATACTCTACTCCCTTCCAAACAAAATACAGAATTTGCCTCATGTAAAAGAAAATACTCAGTACAACTCACAAGTCCTATCAAGAGCAGTTATGCAGTACTCAGCTCAGCTGTTGTTGTTGTAAGTATAACAGCCATAGCAAATACAGATCACACAAAAGGTACTTTTTCTAAGCCTTGAGGCTATTTCTGATAGCTTCAAAGGTCAAAATTAATAGCGAGAACAGAGATCCTCCTCTCCTTTGAAACAACACCAGCCAGCTGGGCACCCAAACCTGATCTACACATCACAAGTAGAAATCTCTGCAAGGTGTACATCCAATCACCACACTGAACACAGTGTCTGCGCATGTAAGAATTAACCCATTATAATGTAATGAACAGCTCACATCCAATGCCATGTTCTGCTATCAGTGGCATATTTCTTATAACTCAACAGCACCACAGAACCACTGCCATGCACATCTGCACAGGCAACTCTCACAATGACTCTGCTCCCATTTTCTGAGTGGCTATCACTCAGGCTGCTAGAATCAAAGATAGCATCTATTGCCAACATTTGGCCACCCACGTGACTAATTTTCTTCCCTCCACCCCACTGTGACGCTAGCAGCAGCATCAAATACTGAACCAGCCAACACAGCCAGATGTCAAAATCCAGCAAAGTAAAGGCAGGGATTCAACATATATTTTTATCTTTATTTGATCTGTATCCCACCCTACCCTGCAAGCAGGCTCTGGGTGGCTCACAGCACATAAATATAACAATTTAAAGTGCTCTCAGAAAGCCTGACTCTTGTATGTGTGCTCATATATACTGATTTTTAGCAAGTGGCCAAAATTCCCAACACTTAATACATAATCTCTGAGGCCCCGATCTCAATTGGGAGACCGTTCTACCAGGCCGGAGCCAGAGCCGAAAAGGCTCTGGCCAAGGCTAAGCAGACATACCTTGGGCTGGGGATCACCCACATATGTTCTCAAGGTTCACAAGGTGTCCTCAGCACAGTCAAGCCTCTCTGTCATGGCGTTCACCCATGGCGTGAGCAGGAAGCAAATCTGGGCTCATCTTAAAATAACTTGAGTATTTCTCTCATGCTGAGCCTAAACTGCGCCATGGTCTTACCCAGCATCTCCTCTCAGCAACCCTTGGCTCTGTTCTAAGAAACAGCATACTACCAAGCCAAATGGCCATACTGCAACTATTAAGCATTGCCCAGAGGTGGGAGCACAGACTGTCTAAATCACTCCTAAGGTGGCCAGGATGAGGAACTTTTTACACTACCAAATCTACAAGGCAGATCATGTAAAGGAACCAGATGGCAACCCCCCAAACAGGTCCCAAATTTAAGGGAGGAAAGTGGTACAAGGAAGAATTCAGTACTGGCTTCTTGTTTTTGTCTTTCCCCCCCTCAAAAAAAGGTTTCATTGTCAAACAGAAGCCATAACAGACAAGGCATGATTATTAGATGCTTTGTGTTCCTAAAGAGCAGCAATTACAGGCATGTGAAAAGAAGGGAAGCAATCCCTGAGATGCTCTTCCTTGCATGCCCCCCAAGAGGCAGCAGGCCATTAAAATTCCATGATGAAGAATCAAAACAGCCTGGGAACAGCCAGGAGGCAATACAGCAAATTAATACACCAACCATCCCCAGGGAGGACAGCAAAAAAGAGGATTCTTCACTTTGCAAAATAAAATTATACTACTAATGATAACAGAGTCACCAAACCACCCACCCACACAGACACACCACTTCTAATGATAGGTGTGGAAGTCCCAGGGCTGCCTAATACTTTCAGAGAAGTCTCCCCACTTCACAGACAGAATTGCTAGAAAGGAAGTCCTGGAATATTACAATTTATGCAGCCTTTCAACTGCGCCTTCCAAGGAACACTCCTCACAGAGCCTTCTCCTTGACATCGAAAAGCCCTCCTTGCACACCCATGGCTCTGAAACTCAGCAATCTGGCTGGCGGCTCTGTTTAAATGAAGCAGTGGGTTACAAGCCAGTCACTATGCTGTCAAATGAATGGCACCAGAAATCACTGGGGAGGCAAAGAAAACATGTGTTAAGGCAGAACGGTGGAAAAAACAGAATTTGCCTAATAACACTGTTCCCAATTGCTTAACATATTCACAAATGCTTTCCACATATGGTCCCTTACACAAACTGTTAGTTTGAGCAGTATAGAAATAAAAATAAACTCTTTCCTATCTACTAGGCCCCAAAAAGCTCATGTCTCCCAAAAAGCCAGAACTCAGTAAACCTGGGCGTGTTCATAATTTACATGCTGTACTCTAGAGACTCAAAAAAGCTCTTGGTAATATCTCAAGACAGCCTTGCAGACAAAGAGTTACTAGATCAACCATCCACACATAAGCCAGATGTGGCTTAGTCAAGGAAACAAACAAAGGACCCAGCTTTAAGCCTCCCGGCCTATTCACCCGGAAGCAATTTAATCACTGCCAGCAAGCAGGCAAGTGGCTAATTGCAAGCCTACCTCATGTCCTATCTGGACCTCAGCTAATAGCTTACATCACAATACCAGCAACCTTTACTTCAGGCAGTCAAAATATGTCATTTGTATCTTGATCATAAAAGCAAAGCCCACCCACTTCCAACTCAATGCAAGTGCAAATCTCCTTGACCTTTTAGCACAAATTCCCCCCACTCAACACTCCCCATTCTGGCAACTGTAGAAGGGTGGAAAGTCCCACAAAGTCTCAAATGAAAGCCTTTCTGGTCTCACACAACCTTAAGACACCCTATTAAAGCAATAAAGGATATCCAGTTCTGTTTGGAAATAAAGACCTCCTCTTTTAACAAACATTTCAAGCAGTTATTTTGGAATTTTAATCAGTGCATTTTTTCCTGCTCTTCAAACTAAATTTAGTGGATCTTCCCATTAGTTCCTTGAGCCAGTCCTTTTTAACATTCTTAAATAATTACTGCTACATTTTTGTCTCTAATGCAATGCAAACCTTGTGCGTTATGTGCCATCAGTCACTTCCTACTGATGGCGACCCTATGAATTAATTACTTCCAAAATGTCCTATCATTAACAGCCTTGCTCAGGTTTAGCAAACTGCTTCCTTTATTAAGTCAATCCATCTCATGTTGGGTCTTCCTCTTATCTTACTGCCTTCAACTTTCCATAGCATTATTGTTTTTTCCAGCTGAGTCTTGTGTAGGGATGGGCACAGACCAGCTCACGAACCTAATTTTATTATGAAATCACTCAGTTCATGACCCAGCACCGACAATGAACCTCCAACGAACCACCATGTTTTTCACTGAGATTTGTGTGGTTCGTATCTGTGGTTCATGCACAAGTGACGAGTTCACCCACTTCTGGGTGAACTCACTGCTTAGAACTCACTTGTGTGCGGTGTGGCTTGCAAAAGCCATTTAAAGGGAATGTTCTCTTTAAATGTCTTTTGCAAGCCACGCCGCTGAAGTCCAAGAGGTGAGTTCACCTGGGAGTGAATTCGCTGCTTGGACTTCACTCTTACGCAATGCAGCTTGCTTACTTAAGAACAAGCCCTATTGGGCTTAGTTTACTTCCAAGTAAACAAGCATAGGCCTGGCTTGACAAGTAAAAAAAAAGCCGGGAGAGAGGGAACTCTTTATGACAGTGCAATCCTACGCAGAGTTACTACAGTCTAAGCCCAATAACTTTTACTGAAGTAATTCTGCTGAGAATGCATTGGATGTATAACTTCCTTGTCCCAACCAAAGAATTTAACTTTCTAAAAAAATACAGTTAGTATATTTTTTGTGCACATTTTCCCAGCTTTTATATTTAAAGGAGCCTACCATCTCATGCACAGATGACAAACTATTATTATGGCAATATGAATGCAAATAGCGATTTGCAGAATAACAACCACACAGAGTCAAATCATTCGTTCACCTACCCAGCACCATTTACTTTGACTAGCATGGCTCTGAGGGGCTTATCGACAGATCACGATTAACACACGGAATTCACTGCCACAGGAGGTGGCAGCAGCTACAAGCATGGACAGCTTCAAGAGGGAATTAGATAAGCATATGGAGCAGAGGTCCATCGGTGGCTATTAGCCACAAGGTATAGATAGGGACTCTGGGGCAAGTGATGCTCTGTATTCTTGGTACTTGGGGGGCGGGGTCAATAGTGCGAGGGCTCCTAGTGTCCTGGCCCCACTGCTGGACCTCCTGATGGCACTTGGTATTTTTGGCCACTGTGTGACAGAATGTTGGACTGGATGGGCCATTGGCCTGATCGAATATTGGCTTCTCTTATGTTCTTATTCTTAGTCATGCTACCGGAGCAAACTAGTAAAATAGGTATAAGAGTAATACAGTTTAAAAGGAAAAATCAGTTCATGTATAAGAATGTACAGAAAGAAAAGATGGTTGCAACGAGGACAAAAGAAATGGAGACTTGCCCCAGCCCAATACAGCCCTGGATCTGTGTGCCTATTCCTCCAGTCAGTCAGTTCCACATGCCTCCCAATTCCACAAGCTTAACCAGTTCTTAGAACCACACACTCTCCCCCACAGCAATTTCTCTGACCATTGAGAGTACTGAGGGACCGCATAATGCTGAGAAAACATTCAGTAGAAAGTGGAATATATCCATTAACCTTAACAGTACAATGAAAATTTATGCCCAAGCTTATTCACTCCCAGTGCACCCACAAAACAGCCAAACCACATACACCTCAAATGCTAACATCTACCCAGGAAAGTCTACTGCAGACGATTAATTGTGGTCACCTCAGAACTTCAGTTCATCATATCCAGCTTCTATCTATAAGGACACTATAAAAACTTGCTGGTTATTAGCAATAAACAGGAAGAAATGTTCTTGGCATCTGGGGCAGCTGATGTGCAAAACCCAGGAAGCATCCAAATTGGCATGCACCCTGAACAAGCAGAGACCAGCTGTTCTATACACAACCTCCATTATCCAAATATCATCTCTGTTCACACGGAGACACTAATACTACACACAGCATACGTTCTATGTCCTGTGACTGTTTTTGGCACTAAACAGCTGTGCCAACTTTCTGTCAAAATACATGGTCTCAAAGAATACAGATTACATCATACCCTTCCAACAAATAGCAGAGTACAATGGTTACCTGGCTGTGCAGTGTGCTGGGGAGCACCTTCGGTGAGAGGCATCAGAAAGAACATCCAAAGAGTACAGAGGAGATAGTGGATTGAACTGGAAAGGCAAGAAAGTAGGTTTCATTAATAGCTTATCAAGTAACAGTATCAGAATATAGTTGGATTGAGATACCATCCTGCAGTTCCTGAGACTCTTTTATACAACATCTGACAAGAGACCATTCTGCTCCCCTCTCTGATGGGGAGATTCTGGATGTCACCAACTAGACTCAGAAGTAGTGCATGCATGCTGAGTCAAGAGGCAAAAATCTTATTTTCAAGAAAGAATATCAGTAGAGATTTAAAGGACAGTCTGTTCTCATATATATTGTGCTCCCAAACACAGTCTACCTTCTCCAAAGACTTGGCCTAACACCCTCAACTTGAGAATCACCTACATAAATGTCATTTTGGCTCCACAGGAAGATCTTTTGCAAAATATAAATACAGACAATTCCTAAAAGATATGACCACAATTATAGCCTTCAGCAGATTAAATGATTTCCTGAATTTTATTTATACACACACACACACACACACACACACACACACACAGAGGATGGGCATGAACCAAAATTTGGCACAAACTTGGGCTAGTTTGGACTCCCCAAACTGATTTTGGGGAAGGTGCCTTCCCTGAATATTTACTGGACTTTTGTTCAGTTTGGCTGTTCGGGGCCATTTAAACCTAACAGCTAAGTGGCATGAGGTATGGAGCTAAACTGTCAGGTTTAAATGGCTGATAGCCTTTTTAACAACAGCTGATGGGGGCACTTGCCCCGCTGTTAGGTTTGAATTGCTGTGAGCCATCAAACCCACCTTGGCTTGCCCGCCTTGGCTTGGAAGAAAGGGGGAACTGAACTCGCCAGACCGACTCAGTTCGGGTGGGGGCCTTTTGGCTCAGTTCAGGGGCTCTGTGTGTGTGTGTATATACACATACGGGGGGGGGGATATCTGTCTAGCTGTGATGACGTTTTTACAGACATGTTGTTTTTTTGTCTAGAGTAATCTAGACAGAAAACTACCTGTCTATAAAAACGGCATCACAGCTAGACAGATATGTTCCTCCTAGAAGGCAAAGGAGAAGTACTCAAAAAAACAAGAATTTTTCAAATGTTGAAGCAGACCAGAAGAGTCCCAAAGACTGGTACAGGTGGAATTAATGATGGAATGCCTCCCCCCGTTAAGGTCTCCATGCATCTACAAAGCTAGCATGTCAGCGAATTGGGTGATCTTAAATACTTCTCCTTGATGTTCAAGTGTTACAAATGCAGAGATTTTTAACAGGGGGAGGATTCATACAGTCCTTCATGTGTGGCAGCATAGTGTGCCTTGCTAAATTCTGGGTTCAGTTCATTCTTCAGTCATTCAGTTTTCAGGTTTTTCTAAAAAATCAAAGTGGTAGTAAAATGCACTGGGTAAACTCTAGTCCAATATGAGTAGGAAAGAAGATAATTTCATGGTTTATCTATTCACTATGTTCATGGATAGCAACAAATTCTAACCTTGTTAAGTCATTATGGTGACTCCATTTTCTCTCAGCCTTAAGGTTGATTGTAAGGTCATAAGCACTTCAAGGGGCTGAAACTGACTTATCTGTACTGTAACAAAGCAGCACACAGGCATACAGTACTATTTCTTTTAAAAACAGACCAATGCTTGTAGTATGTTTTCTTTATGAAGAACTACACACAGAAAGTTCTTCTAATACAGCACTACAAGAACTAAAGAATCTAGAATACAGCGCCAACAGCTAGTAACATGAAAGTGAGGAACACAGAATTAAAGCTGCTTGTAATGAAATTCACTTTCAGCTGGACTATTAGCCTGTGATAAACCATAACATTACAGACAGTGAGGAGAAAAATTACTAGAAATCAAGGAATTATTTTGAGCTATTTGCAGAATTCTTTTTCTTTCCCTCTATCATAGCATCTATGAGAGACACTCATGTCCACCATCTAAAACAGAATTAATATCTGAGTTTTCTGTCAGAGGAATATCATCAGCTGTTGAGTAACAATTTCAGCATCAGTACTCACAATGTTCTGTCATACAAATATCAGTTTTAAGCTACACAGTGGTCTGAGAGTTTAGCACTAGTGCCAGTAAACCAAAAAGAGGCAGGACTACTGAAGAGGAATGAGCATCATTGTTTTTAAATGAAAGAGAAATGGCTTTTCTACCCAAAGAGGAATACACAGATAATGGTCACTGTATGCTGTGGAGCTGGCTCCTTGCAACTGCAACGGGTTATGTTGGTGTAGTATGGGTTATGTTGGCTCTCTCTCTTTGCAGTAGCCAAGCAACTTCTAAACATAGTACGAATACCACCTTTCTTTCTTCCCTGCCAAGATGCCAACATGGCTGAATTCCTCAGTCAACCCAGCTATAAAAAGATAAAATATAAGATGGCACGCACTCTATATGACACGTATATCTATAAAGCTACTTAATAATAAAACTTAATTGATCTAACTATACAAATACTTCAACCAGAAAGCTGAAATGAGGAAGCAACTGAAGAAAACAAAACTGCAGGAGAAGACAGAGGCCTTTGTGTACTGGCTAGTACAAAAAGCCGGATCTACTAGAGCGTGGCATCACATGGGGCTGCCTTACCTCTTGCACACAGGCTGTAATGCAGAAGAAATTGGAAGCCAGCGTTTTGTTCCTTCTAGAGAGAAAAATCAAGTAAAGAAAATATAAGGAAGCAAAGTAGAGCCATCTTACCTGGTTGCGATCCCTCATTCCCACAGACGGCAACCAGAAACTGGAGAGAGATGGCAGAAAAGATGAAATTGTGGGAAGCACAAGAAAACCAAGAATCAGAAGAAATGGATAAACAAGAAGGAAAAACAGATGCATGGGGAAGAAAGGAAGGTTAAGCCCCCATGTCAGACAGGTGTTCTAAACACAGCTGTCAGACAAGCAGAATTAACCTAAGTAAATGAAAAACTCAGTCCAAAAGAGCATAACTATAGGAAGCCACGCTGTCAACAGCTGGCTGACTGGGAAGGCATTATCATTATATTAAAGGGCAGTTTCACCCATTTCACTCCCCATTTACATCTAAGGCAATATATTCACATCCAAGAGGAGAAAGTAGTTCAGAAATGCAGAGCAATACCAAACTTGCTGCTGCCTTGAATGGCATCATTATTATTGGCCAGCCAGTTGTCTGGTACTAATGTTTCGTCTTTAAGTTTGCTCTGTTTCTCTGTGCATTTCATAAACTTGTAAGAGACTGAAGAAGATAGTTCAATTAATAGAGAGCAAGTGCAGTTGCCATTTGTTTCAGGCAAGTAGAAGGGGACAAGAAATACAACAGGACTACAGAACAGTAAAAACAACATTACCCCCACCCTACCCCATAGACGGTGGCTCTAATAACTTGGAAAGCGTTCCATTCCCACAGAACAATAAAATAAGGGGCAAGTCTCATTCTATGTTATAAGCCTCCCTCCCAGCCCCTGACTTCTAGACTTTAGCAACACTCCAATGCTTACTCTTTTTGGCATGAATCACCAATGATGTGGCTAATCCTCTCAGTGCCAATAGCACTCATGATGGTCTCCTGAAACACAGGGGAAGCAGGGAAGACTGAAACTACACATAACAGGAACAGGACCTTTTAAAAAAAACCTGGGTTTGCCTTTATAAATACAAAGAAGAATGCCTTTATACCCACCTACACCCCCACACACACTTATCTCCCTACACCCAGTCACTTCAAGTCCCTTCTCATCCAATCGGAGTCAGATAGTGGAAGTTAGCTTGGCTGAAAGAAAACTTCCAAGAAATACTTCAGGAAAGGCATACGATGAGAGAGGGCTTGGCTCCCTTTTCCAGCATGCCCCTTTTGCTCTTAAACTTGGGTCTCTTACCCCTACATTATCCCATATTGAAGAATACCTGGGTTTAACCAAACATGCACTTTGCGCTTCAGGCAACCCCCTCCCCCCGTTCTAGAAGCACAGACCCAAATGGCATACAAATAAGATACTGCATTCATGTTCACATGGATCAGAATAATTTCTGAGCAGTTAATCTAAAAGGTGGCTCCAACAGCCCAGTAAGAACTTAAATTTCCACAATGCTAGGAAGGAAGCAATTTAATGGACACACAAACCCCGACAACACACTGAACTTCCAAATCTTTTGTCCCTGCAGCATACAATTATCTAGAAGAGTCAAAATATTTGAAAATTCTCTACTCTGCTCACAGCCAGCAGTCCCCGTTTGATCACAAGGGACAGAATCATGACAGAGTCTCTTGCAGTACAATTTGGAATATCTACATATAGACAATATACCAAGCATTCATATGAATTTTAGAAGTCTTAATAAATAACTTATAGAGAGAGTTAGTACTGTACTACCCAAAAGCTGGGGGAAGGGAGTCTTATTTCCTTTTGTTACACTCTGTACTCAGCACTTACAGGCACTAGAAAGAATGGTGATCTAGCATGTGTCCATGTGCACCTAATTGGTTAATTTTACCTGTAAGTGTTCACACAAACAAACCATGGAGAAAATGGACCTATGCTTATTTTGTATAATGGGTATGACACACTTCTCGACCCAGGTATAACCAAGCTTTGTGATCCCAACCACCATTTTTCATGAGTCAGAGCAAGTGATCATTACTCTGTAATGCATAAGGGGAAGGGAGGGTTCCACAGCTAGACATTTCATCATTATGCTAGTAATTCAGTGTTGCCTGTCAGACAGGCTCCTATGGGAAATTGTTGATTCAGCCTGCTTCACCCTTTCCTTGTTCATAACAAATTCAGTACTTGCTACAGATCAAAATGCTTCTGATTGGCTGTTAAGTCACATGGGTTGTCACATCCTACCCTAAATCCCGGGTAGCAGTAAAAATACATGCTTCCAGCTACCTTTGTGCTTCAGTCTTGCACGCCTGTTGGAATTCAGACAGGGTGAGAGAAGGTTGTTCTGCTCTGAGATAAAACAGCAATCTTCTACTGGAAGGAAGCACCATAACTGGAGTACCACCACAGAGACTCCAACCTTATTTCTGCAGGTGAAGGTACATGGAGAAGGGCCTGTGGCAGACCTTAACTGTCAGGAACGAACATATGAGACAAGGTACTATTTTAAGTATCCTGGTCCCAGACCACTTAAGAGCTTTAAAGGTATTGACCATCACCTTTAACTGTGTCTGAAGGCAAAAAGCAAGTCCATTAAATATTTTCAGGATTGGCATCATGTGGTCACTACAGCCAGTTGCAGATTGTAATCTGGCTGCAGTATTTTGTACCAACTGAAGTTTCCAAACCATTTTCAAGGAAAGCTCTTCATAGACTGCATTGTAATAATCCAGTTTGGATGTGAACATAAGAACATAAGAGAAGCCAATGGTGGATCACGTCAATGGCCCAACCAGTCCAACACTCTGTCACACAGTGGCCGAAAATACCAGGTGCCATCAGGAGGTCCACCAGTGGGGCCAGGACACTAGAAGCCCTCCAACTGTTGCCCCCCCCCCAAGCACCAAGAATACAGAGCATCACTTGCCCCAGACTGAGAATTCCTATCTATACCTTGTGGCTAATAGCCACTGATGGACCTCTGCTCCATATGCTTATCTAATTCCCTCTTGAAATTCTCCATGCTTGTAGCCGCCGCCACCTGTGGCAGTGAATTCCATGTGTTAATCACTCTTTGAGTGAAGAAATACTTCCTTTTATCTGTTTTAACCCAACTGCTCAGCAATTTCATAGAGTACCCATGAGTTCTTGTATTGTGAGAAAGGGAGAAAAGTACTTCTTTCTCTACCTGCTCTATCCCATGCATAATCTTATAAACTTCGATCATGTCACCCCTCAGCCGTCGTTTCTACAAGCTAAAGATCCCCAAGCGTTTTAATCTTTCTTCATAGGGAAAGTGTTCCAACCCTTTTATCATTCTAGTTGCCGTTTTCTGCACTTTTTCTAATGCTATAACATCCTTTTTAAGGTGTGGTGACCAGAACTGTATACAGTATTCCAAATGAGGTTGCACCATTGATTTATACAGAGGCATTATGATACTGGCTGATCTGTTTTCAGTTCCCTTCCTAATAATCCCCAGCATAGCATTGGCCTTTTTTACTGCAGTTGCACACTGTCTAGGCATTTTCATTGAGTTATCTACTACGACTCCAAGATCTCTGTCTTGGTCAGTCTCTCCCAGTTTGGACCCCATCAATGTGTATTTATAGTTAGGATTTTTGGCTCCAGTGTCCCAGCATGGATATTTGTGGCCACACTGAGGAAAGTCTAAGGCTGGTGTACTGACTTACTCTGGACAAAGGAGCTATGTGTGTCAGAGGAGTTCTGCATCTCCACCTCCAACTCAGGATGAAGAAGCATTCCCAAGCTGCAAACCTGTTTCTTTAAAGGAAAGGAGACCTCATCTAGAACAGGCAGCGTCTGTACTCCTACACCAGTTTTATTACCAGCCGATATCACTTCAACCTTGTCTGTACTGAATTTCAATTTATTGGTCCTCATCCAGTCCATTACCACCTCCAAACACCAATCCAGGGCATTTTGTGTTTCACCCAGTTCAGATGAAAAGGAGAAATGGAGTTACCAGTTATCAGTTTGATGGTACCTTATTCCAAACCCCCAGACATTCTCTCCTAGTAGCTTCATTTAAACATTAAATAGCATGGGGGACAGGGCAGAGCACTGTGAAACACCACAGCACAGGGTCAAGCAGCTATCCCTCCAGCACCACCATCATGTAACAACTTGACAGATAGGAACAGATCCACTGTACTGCTGTGCTTCCCAATCTCTAACTCAGACAGTCAAACCATAAAGAATCTATGGTTGATGGTTTCAGAGCACACCAAGAGGTTCAAGAGAATCCAGAGTCACACACCACTGCCTCAGCCAAAGGTCACGCATTCCTTCTGCTTTTTCTCTGGTTACTCAAAAGCCCTGGTTTAGGCCAAGAGGAGTCTCACTTCATTTGTTATCATGCACCTTTTTTTTTTTGCTGTCAAGTTCCAGCCCACTTATGACAACGCCATTGGATTTTCAAAATGAGAGAGGTTCAGAGGTGGTTTGCCACTGCTTGCCTCTGCACAGCAGCTCTGGTGTTCCTTAGTGGTCTCTCATTCAAATACTGACAAGGGCAGACCCTACTTAGCTTCTGATATTTGATGAGATTGGGCTAGCATGGGCTATCTACTTAGATTAAAAGAGGATGTTGGTGCCCTTTGTGAGATTAAAAAAGATGTACAAATATACACATAGTTCACCCCATGTCTGAATTAACCAGAAATATTTATCTACCTGGCACTGAACATGCAGAGGACTGCAACAGCTACTATCACACAGGGTACCATATAAAAGCTGGATAGCCAAGCCTTATTTGAGTGTGTAAAAAAGAACTTATATCAGTGGGGGCTCATCCTCATCAGAGATTTGTGACATAATCCCTCTACAATTATGGGCTGGACAATGCAATCTACAAATGAAAAGGTCACAGATCTTTCTTGAGTTCCCCCTCCTACTGCAGCCCTTTCTGACTGGGAAAGTTTATCTCCCAGGTTTCAGGGACCCACTTGGTCTAACAGCTCTGATGGGAGAGAAAGAAGAGCCAAGTTTCTCCTCCCCACTGCAGACTCCCAACACATGAATCCTGAGACACCAGGATCAGAAAGAAGTGGGGAAGGGGGGAGAGACCAGGAAAAATTCACAACCGCCAGTGCCAACCAATCAGGAGTTCCAACCCATAAATCCCGAACGTGCAGCCATTCCTAAATATAATCCTCCTACCTTGGACAATGTCTGTAAACCCAACAGTTATTCAAAAGTTAATGCTTTAGGTGTTAAAGCCTTAAAAGTAAAGATCCCTAAAATGCAGGGGGAGGCTGCATATTCCTAGGCTAAACAACTTCTTTTAGAAATTCAGCTCAGTGTGCTATTGTGTATGTTACTATGCGCACTCACATAGGCTCTACAAATTCAGCTGTTTGCCATCACGGAGCAATGTGCTATAAATATGCTACATGAGCATCATTTAAGGTAACTCATGCCCAGGATCCCTGAACACCAACACTTGCATGGTTTGTAGGAGAGCACCAGCAGGGGTAAAAGATAGGCTATTTGTTACAGCAGAGAAATTATTAACTTAAAGTGCCATAATGTTTAAATTTACGGTTTATTACTGTGTAAATTACAAGCCGTACTTTGGGTAATTAGCAGCTCGCTGGCGGGGAGCTTTGAATGAAACTCATTATTTATTATTACGATTTAGAGGAAAATGGGGGAGGGGGAGTAGTGACCTCCAATGCAAATGACAAAGATCCCTTTAAGGTGATGAAGATGAATTAAACAAGTAAATATTTTTCTTCTCGTTTTGGTTCATTAGGAGTGCCTGAACAAAACCTAGGACTCTGGGCCAATGGCCTGACAGCCGTTGCTACAAGCTCAACATTCCCCATAATTGAAGCCCTATTTCAATAGCCAAGTGAGCACGATGGAGAGAAAGAAGGGACACAAAGAACCTGTCAAAGAGGGAAGGAACAGGACAAGTGTTGCTCTCCTATGAAAACAAGACATTCAGCCTAACCTACCTCACATGGTTGCTGTGAGCATAAACTGGAGGAGGGGAGAATCATATATGCAACCCTGAGCTCTTAGGATGAAGGGCAGGGTAAAAATGCATTAAAGAAAGTGTATCACTTGTCCTTGAGAAAGCTTGTTGGAAGATATTTGACCAAATACAAAGCCAAAACATATAAAGCTATGAAATTTGGAAAGGGACTCATCCTCTGTGTCAGCAGGACAGCTTCAGAAATCCAGCCTCCCACAGCACACTCATCCCCAAACCCTGCTTAATATTTCAGAGGCAAAGTTCTCAGTACTTTAATTTTACCACCCCGCCCCCCACCAAGAATGGCAAGAAATGCTCATGACACAAATCTCTTAATGAAGTGGAGGGCCAGGAGCTGGCAGCCATGCCTCCTCACTGCAAGCTTAAATGTTACATGACAAAACTGAATCGCTGCATCTTGATTCTCCTACTAAATTAAAAACAACCTTTTTCTCCACCCTGACTTATAACATTGCTTTCCTCTTCTCAGGAAGCACACGAGTTCTCCTCTCCACAATTCACCTGATACCTCTCTCCAGCCACAGCATCTCCACCGGCTGAAGGACTGCTACCTGCAATGCAGGACTTTCTTTTCTCCCTCCCTTAAGAACATAAGAGACGCCACTTCTCAGGAAGCACACGAGTTCTCCTCTCCACAATTCACCTGATACCTCTCTCCAGCCACAGCATCTCCACCGGCTGAAGGACTGCTACCTGCAATGCAGGACTTTCTTTTCTCCCCCCCTTAAGAACATAAGAGACGCCAATGTTGGATCAGTCCAAAGGCCCATCCAGTCCAACACTCTGCATCACACAGTGGCCAGAAATACCAGTGCCATCAGGAGGTCCACCAGTGGGGCCAGAACATTAGAAGACCTCCCACTGTTGACCCCCCCCAAGCACCAAGAAGACAGAGCATCACTTGCCCCAGAGTCCCTATCTATACCTTGTGGCTAATAGCCACTGATGGACCTCTGCTCCATATGCTTATCTAATTCCCTTTTGAAGCCATCCATGCTTGTAGCCGCCACCACTTCCTGTGGCAGTGAATTCCATGTGTTAATCACTCTTTGGGTGAAGAAGTACTTCCTTTTATCCGTTCTAACCCGACCGCTCAGCAATTTCATGGAGTGCCCATGAGTTCTTGTATTGTGAGAAAGGGAGAAAAGTACCTCTTTCTCTACCTGCTCTTTCCCATGCATAGTCTTATAAACCTCAATCATGTCATCCCTCAGTCGTCGTTTCTCCAAGCTAAAGAGCCCCAAGCGCTTTATTTTCTTCATAGGGAAAGTGTTGCAACCCTTTTATCATTCTAGTTGTCCTTTTCTGCACTTTTTCCAAAGCTATAATATCCTTTTTAAGGGGTGGTGACCAGAACTGCACACAGTATTCCAAATGAGGTCTCACCATTGATTTATATAGGGGCATTATTATATTGGCTGATCTGTTTTCAATACCCTTCCTAATAATCCCCAGCATAGCATTGGCCTTCTTTATTGCAGTCACACACTGTCTCGACATTTTCAGTGAGTTATCCACTACAACTCCAAGATCTCTCTCTTGATCAGTCTCTGCCAGTTCAGACCCCATCAATGTGTATTTATATTTAGGATTTTTGGCTCCAATGTGCATCACCTTGCACTTGGCCACATTGAACCCCATTTGCCATGTTGACGCCCACTCACCCATCCTTGACAGATTTATCAGTCTCTGCCAGTTCAGACCCCATCAATGTGTATTTATATTTAGGATTTTTGGCTCCAATGTGCATCACCTTGCCCTTGGCCACATTGAACCCCATTTGCCATGTTTTTGTGGACCAAGTACTGATCCCTGCGGTACCCCACTGCTTACCACCCTCCACTGAGAGAACTGCCCATTTATACTCACTCTGTTTTCTATTAATTAGCCAGTTTTTGATCCATAAAAGGACTTGTCCTTTTATCCCA